GGTTGTAGAGAGCTCAACAATATAAATAAACTGGGTCACCTGAAGCATACTTATTTACCAAAAGTGAGGTGCATGCTTGATATGCTTGCTGAATTACAGCATATTGTCTAAATACTTCAAATATTTTTGAATGCACTTGTTATAAATGGCATGCAAATATTTGGAAACTGGTCAGGGATTTGGGGAAGCATGAGGAGTAAACATTCTAATGCAGGGAAATACTCAAAGCGTAATTTGCTGATGCAATCCTTGCTTGTCTCTTGCACCCTCAACTTTTACAAAAGTTGATTCAACCACTACTGCAGCCAAAAAGCATTGTTGGAAGGTGAAGGGAAAGGAGAGGCAGTAGCTTTCTGCATGAGCCCTGTGTTACATCAGCTCACAGAGTAGTTCTGCAAATACCAGCTTGAGGTTAAGTACTGGGAGGGCACAGCTGTCAGGGCAGTGTGGAAAGGCATATAGAACCTCTTCCTTTTGGCTGCAGCAAGCTCTTAAATTATCTCAGGTAATCTCATTAAAAGGCACTTTTGGATCGCAGCTCTGCTGCAGCCAAGTTGTATGAACACTGGAGCAAAGCTGGGGGTTGTATTTCTAAATATGAAAATGTATTTTTTTCCATTTGAAACTGATAGAATAATCTTTACTGTGTGGAAACGTAACAGGAAAACTTGGCTGGCATCTCAGTACACTTAAATGCAAAGTTACTCATTTAACAAGTAATGTCCCACTTGAAGACTCCACAAACAGCAGTGGGAAAAGTTATCCATAGCAGCTGGCCAACTGAATAGGAACCAACTAAAATTCAGGAGCCATCACTGTAATGTAGTGACTAAGAAACTAAATGCTGTCCTTGCCCTTACCAGCAAGGAAAATGATTACGGCAGTACTAACATTAACAAGACTGGTCCTTTTATGCTTTTAGGAACAACAGTGAAGTTAAGGAGTGTTTTAATTGGGAACGTGCAACATGGCCTTGCCCATACAGCCAGAGCCTGTGGAACTAGGGAGCGCCTCCAGAAGGCCAAATGCTTTGAGGGACTTTGAATGCCTCAAGGATATAGTCCATGATTAACTAAGGCACACCACGCTAAGGAACCCACTGGTGTGGAGCTAGAACTGTTCTTTGGTGTACACGCCAAATTACACTGTCTACTTTAGATGTAGTACTGCCATCAAGATTCTTATCCTTGGCAGCCTGGACACCACCTCCCCTTGCAGCTTTTAAGGATTACAAGGGCAAAAGTAGGTCTCATGCAGATTCAACGTTACGAATGTTCTCCCACATGGGATACAGGCATTCTGGTCCTCGTTTTCTGTGCTTCATCCCTTGACAGTACGCTGCAGATCTTAGTCATTCATTGAAACCGTGCTCTCCCACTACCACACTTAGAAGTCCTTCTGAACCATTAGTAGACTCTTGTACAAGATTCTTGCTGGTTATTAATTCGTATACTTAACAGACATTTTTACGAACAATTCTAAGAATGAATAAACAGCTTTTTACCTTTCCAAACACACATCATTCAAAGAAACCCCAAACTATTTCCTGATACACCCGTGTAGGTAGAACTGAGATGAATAGCTACCAAGTCTCACATTCCTCCCGAGCCCTCTTCTGCAGTGAGAATATACTTTTCTCCCCACCCCCTTGACTCAAGGAACTCATCTGATTACAGAAAGTCACCTTGTTTCAAAAAGGCCGTAATATTTTACTGGTTGATAAGTTAATTACCATGGTTTGTCTCAAGTCTGAAGGTGTGCTTAATTGTTTTCATAGGAGTATGGCCAATTAAAAATGGCCATACCCACAGTTCTATTTTTAGATTATTAAATGCAAGTATTCCAATGACAGCTGATTGAGAATGACACCAAGTCAAAGTTTTGGCTATATTTTTATTTACTTCACGTACTATGAACATATACATTACATGCTACAAAAAAATAAAAAAAAGACTTTAAACTGTCAAGAAAGTGGATAGTGTTATAATACAATGGCACATGTTCATATTTTTCTTCAAACTGGTTTGGTTAGAAGCCTTCCCCAAAACCATTAACAAAGATGAAGTGTTTTACTCTTAAGATGATTAGAAATATTTGCATTATTAACAAATACAATTCAAACAGATTAACAAGATTTAACCAGGTCAAATATTAGTAAAAAGGCTGGGGTTTACCAAAATGAAATATATATTAAAAAACCATAGCAGCCAGTTGTACTTTTTAGTGTGATATAATGTGTAAATGCACCAGAAGAACACAGTGTAATTGAGCATTCTGCTTTCACGGTGTATTTCTAGAAATGATTATTCTAGTTCTAACACCTGCCTATGCACAAGAGACCAAAAACACAGCCAAGTAGAGACAAAAGATTGTGACCAACATTCTTAGCAATGATTTTTTTGCACGCATTAGGGAAAAGGGAGGGAACAAATAGAAAAGGATAAACAAAGGCCACAAAAGGATTTAATCTACATGTTCATGAACATATGTTCTACCTACTTTCCTTTAAGAGCCTGGTAAGTTGAAATGTCTATTTCGTCCAAATGCAAACATACTCATTTCTATCACCTATGAAACAAAATCACATTTCGGCTTAGAACTGAATAGTGGAAAAAGGTTGCATTAATGTATCAGTTGACTAAGAAACACTGCTTGACAAGAACTTAGGATTCTAGTGCAACAGCAGCTATTAAGACTCCTCTAGTTTCTTTTTTTTACCTCTTTCAAAGTGTACAAATATTCGCAATTTATACAGTCTTAACAAAAACACATCTACAAAGTCTGCAGGGTACTTTCTAGTTAATTCAATTTATGTCTTTCATATTAAAAAGGCAAGATTTGCATAATAAAATTCCTTTCAGAAAAACGTTCTTTTGGTATCTTAAAATAATTGCTGATTGGTACAAACATACGGGCTTTCATTAATTGCAATTGGAAAAATACATCAGAACAAAGTGTTACTCTAAGAACACACTGTTCATTATGTTTCTTTTTCAATACCTGAAGAAAAATATAAGCATATATGGGCAACTGATAAACTCAGTATTAAGTCTGTTATTTAGAGTGCAGCTATTGAAAAAAAATTAGCCATAGTAGATATCAAGGTCAGAGGAAAAATACAGATTAGCCTTAAAGAAACCAATGTGTTACAGAACCCAGAGTTAGTTTCTCATTTTTTTTTTCCTCAAAGCAGATTTTGTACTAAGCTAGAAGAGATCCCACAATCACTGGCATGTCACCCTAACCAGAAGAGCAATCCAAGCTAGAATAGTACTGCAATTCCTTTGTTACCATTCTTCTTACACCACTGTCACAACTGTCAGTTTTCTAATAATCTTCAGTAGTGCTTATGAGATTGATGATGGAAAAGTATAATCAATGTACATCAGCATTAGTATACACAATTAATGAGTGCCCATTACCTGAACATTAGTCAGACTTGCTGATGGATTAGTTTCAAAATAAAACAACTAGTACTTAAATATAACAGAAATATTATCATTTCCAGCATGTTACACAGTTCTGAGGTAAAGTGTTACCAGTATTCTGCTGTACAGGTCGGTGCCTTGCAGCAAGAGCCTTTGCACTGGGAACTGGCCCTCGCAGCATTTACAACCAATGAGCCATTCTAGTCACATGGTCTGTATCATCCGAAGTAACATTTTCAGTTTGATACTATTTAGAAAAACTGTTCTGTATGGATTATGCTGCAGTCAAAGTTACAAAATTCGCTTGCTTAAGTTTGGTCACTAGAGCGCTGTGTTCAGAAAACAATCCAGGGTACAGGCAAGGGGTAGTTACTTCAGTGTTTAATTTCAGTTTACAAAACTTACTGAATCCATTCTGATTTATGTTAGAGAAAACCAGATAATTAGAAGAACAGACTAAAAAAAATAAATCAAGAAGTGCGTAATACCACCTACTCAATGCACTGATTTGCATTATGAGCTATGAAGCCATATTTACTGTTATGCCTGTTGAGAATCAATCCAGAAGCACACAAGTATTTTCCATTAGTTTATTAAAAATAAAATCCTCATGAATTCACTATCAAATATTTTACAGATGGGAATTAAACCAGAAGAGTCCCCAGAGTAACTAAAAAAAAAAAAATGTAATATTTGGTTTGTCAGTTCACCGCGTTTGACACTGATTTGTACTGTAAGAGTATTGTACAATAGGAGTATTGAAGAATTCTAGAAAAATTAAACTGGCCCTATATAATTTAATTTTACTGGAAAGCAGTGTCAATATTTTAGTATATTTAGTGAATCAAACACTGCTTTAAAGCTATGCATTAAAGTGCTACGCACGTATTTTTCAGAACTGATATGGATGTTTACACTTCCATAAGCCTTATATTTGTGGATAAAAAGAGATACTGGTGTGTTAATAGAACTCTTAAATTAAAATCAGCTGCTATGTTTGAAGCTCCAACAGTACTGAAGAAATCAAGCTAGTGTCCACAAACTTCTAGAATTGCGAGGTTGATTTGATCTGTCATTTACCATTAAAATGGTAAGCATCTGTAAATCGTAAGGCTGTCCCCAGCGGCTCTACGTATGTCTCTGTACTGTGCATAGTTAACTGACCACGCAGAGTACTATATAGCCTTTCTAGGACAGAGAATTCAGGATGGAAAAAACAAAGACATGGAGAAAGCTCCAGGATAAATTTGTGAAATTTCTATCTATATATTGAATTGTCTAAGGTTGATGTTCATTGCCTGAGGAAGAAGCAACATAAGCAATAGGACCAGAGAGAGCTATAAACGTTATCGTAACATCTACATTACCGCTTTCTCCGACTGCTGCTGCTGGCAAGGTCCAGTCTGCTGTGCACATGGACATAAGCAGGCATTACAACCTATAATCATGTACTAGTTCTGCCACTTGACACACAAGTTATCTACTGTCGTACCCTGAATTACATGACCCTTGATTAAGGAATGGTGGTGCTCAGTCCCAGGGGTTTGCAGGTTATCAGAATGCTTATAGAAGCAATACTGCTTTCAACATCTGTCGGAACATAGTCTTGATGGCATCTGCAATAAAAACAAGTTGAGATTGTTCCCATCTGTAGGCGCAACTGTTGAGCCACACTCAGCTGAAGTCCTCGTCAGGATTCTGTTGATCCAGGATGCGGACATGTGTGAATGGAAAGTGACCACGTCTGCCGTTACATTCTCCTTCCCACTGACCGCTCACGTTAATCTTTGTGACCTTTACCAGCTCACCGACCTGCAGTGTGAGAAATAAGGAAGTGTTACAATTCATAAAAACACATAGGATGAGCTGCTACCCCTCCCCTTTGGTGTCAATCACCCAAGTGTACCAGATACATTTCTATCAAAAAAAAAAAAAAAGTTTTTGTCTTGACCATTTTTGATACACCAGACTACCACCCAATGTTATTCACTCCTGAAGAAAGTACACAGAGAAAGAAGCATACCTAGATTAGGCAAGAACTACCTAAATTGGAAGAGCCTGCAATCCAACACCGATCTTTCAGAGCAGTCTTGGGACTTGATATCAGCTGCTATCACAATAAATGCATCTTGCTGAATTGACAGAGGATTGCACTCTGTATTGCATCAAGCTCACTGAGGGAGGAAGGCTTGCAGGTGCACAAAGCAAACACTGCAAGCTAAACGGCTCCTTAATTTTGACATTCCACTCAGTGCTTTTCAGGTAGTATTGGAAAAGTTCTGGGTAAGCGGGAGCTCCCTATATCGCCACAGATTATAAAACACTGGAAGAATATGTGGAGGAATAGGAAGCAGTGCCGCAAGGCTGCTCTGATCTTACTCTGAGCATCCACATCTAGCCACTACCACAGGCAAGGCCAGATGATATTTCAGTCTTGCCCACTGTGGATTTCTCATATAAATGAATTCCATGGGTTTAGTAAAGACAATTGATTCCCTCTCCCTTTTATACCCAAATTGTTTGGCTAGAAAAAATAAAAGAATGGTTACTATGGACCAGTGAAACAATATGCTCTAGTTTAAAAGCATCCAGTTCTAACGTACTACACTAAATAAAAGCACAGTAATATATCTCATATTCTAATCTCCAACCTAATATTCACATAACCAATTCTAAAGGTATTGTGTCCCTTTGACAAAGGTGGAAAGCTGCAAAGCAGTCACTTTCCCAAGGCTCTGCCGTCGTGCAGTTCACGTCGGGGCCACAAGTCTAGCTCTAATCAGTCCACAACTCTGTTGCATCTTGAAGGGTACTTTTATTAAGTAGCGCTTACGCAATCTAAGCAAGCACAATTTACATTGTAAAGACGGTCACTGGAGACTTAATAAATGCAATGTTTAAAAAACCATCTACCCATTTCTACCCCTCTGTGTAGAATTCCATCAATAATCTTATTTACAAGTAACATACAAGGGTCTTCAGAGTTTTTCCTGGGTCACAGATGGGGAATGCTTTTGGGACAGATATACTCTATTTTCTTTCACTAATACTGTAAATAAACTCTCAAGGCATGGCCACAAGCCTTAGTGCATTTCATCCAGAAATTCACTGAATATACAGTTTCTAGTTTACACAGATGCTCATCACTGTGTTCCAAATTCATCCAAAACAGAATCTCATTATTCTGTGATTCCCAGCAGTGAATGAAGATCAAGGAAAACAATTTAAGATGTTACCAATCAGGTTAATCACTTGCAATCTTTTGCCATATCAGCTTTTAACAGTTCGTAAATTCAAACCACTACATGGACATTTAATTAAGCTTCCCATACCCCCGATGATTACTTATCTGGTAATGAGAGGAACACTTGGGACTCTGCCTGTAGCTCTATTTTTTCATTTCGTAGTCATTAGTATAGACATTTTAATGAATCATATTTTGAAGAAAATCCTCTCATGTATTTGCTACAGGCAAAAAGGAAGCCTTCCTCAACTACTGAATGCTAGTTTCAGCTCTTTAGGAATTTAATCATGCAGTATGTATAATTTTGCTACAGCTAATAATCACAGGGGGGTTGTACCAATAAAAACACTCTGCTGACCAAAACAAAACATCAGCTATAATTTAACAAGGATAAGATTAAATGTGATAATACCAGAAGCAGAAAATCTTATTTCCTAATCACAACCATTACAAGAACACTACCCTAGACAACTTTAAATTGCTTCATACCTGGATATAATCTCCCTATCAGCCTTCAGCAGAAAAGTACATAACCTCCAACCCACTAGGAAAGAAAAAGCACGAGTTGCACTTAAGCTTGCCATCTGTAAGGTATTTTTCTTAGGCTGGTGGCCGCCTCTGTGCTCTCACTGAATATCACCCACTGCTTCATGTTCATATAGTTTATCTTGGCTACCTTATGCCAAACTCACCTGCAAAAGGTGGGTTCAACAGTGCAATGATAGTGAGTTAGAATATGGGATGCTTGGGACACTCCCTCACTCCCAGAAGCATCCTGTAGCTGTTTGGTTTTCAGGGGTGTTTCAGGGTCATTGCTGCAAACAGACACCCATTTATAAATTCTCCTTACTGTAAGAAGCTACATCTGAAACTTGTCTTTCAGTAATTGTTAGAAGACGAAAGACCTCTGAGCTTAAATATTCCTTTTTTACCACTACAGTAACTTCATTTAGTGACCACTCTCTAATACAATCATTCATTCACATTTCATTTATATACATCTTCTCATTTCATTTATAGATCTATATCTTTACACCTATCAATGCAGGATGACTTTAAGTAAGCACATGTCATTTCACAAATGCTAGTTTAATAACTTATAGATCTTTCTAGATCTGCTTTGAAACTCTGCATATTAATCTATAGTTCAACTATTCTCCTGAAGACAATACAGAGCACCTTTTAAAAAAAATTACTCATCATTACAAGTGCTGGAATTTAAAAAATTTTAGACTAGAAGTGGACTCTCTGAATTCTCCTCACTTTTAATGTTGGCTTATGGTATCATTAGTCTTACTGTGCATCATCCCACCAAGCACGGCACCTCAAGGACAACACTGTACCCTGCTATAAAGCCAGATTTGTCTCAGTCTTCATCAGAAGTTTAAAAACTAAATACATCCCATATGCTTCAAAGCACAACTGACGGTTCATGTGAAGACTTCTGTATGCTGTGGGTTTATTCCAAGTACTCCTCTTTGGTAAGGTCAAAATGGCAGAGTTCTGCTACTGTTACAAAGAAAAAAAATAAATTGATCGATCTCAGAGTCATTCACGACATAGATCTTCCCTTTTTCTCCTCTCTTTTCTCTTAAGACTGACAACCCTTGAATAGGTCCAGTTACAAGCAAAATAAAAGTTATCTTCTCCTGCTGACCCTTTTTTCCATAATAAGCACAGCCTCTATTAGAACATCATTTGCTCTGATCCTTCTTTCCTTCCTTGAGCTCTTCAAAACCACATCAGTTTTAAAATAATAGAACAGTACAGATATTCTGTTTGCAGTTTGGGCCAAAAATGTTTCATGTTAAGAATCTGTTTTCCTAAGAGGAACAGTGGGATCCACCCCCACCCATGAATATTGCCAGATTTAAGGATCAGAGGTTTTGGTTGGAAAGAATCCCACTTTCTGTATTTATAGTTATTAAGAGGTCTGGGCAAAAATGGACTGATAAGATTTACATAATGCTTTCTAGTAAGTTATCTAAGAAAGAGATCTCTAAATAAACAGAGAAGGAACACCATGAAGTGAAAGGGAATGTGAAAAAAAGGAGACAACAAGAAACAGTACTTTGATAGACAGGATGAAGAAAAACTTGGAGAAAGTGAAGTGCTTGTCGCAATTTTTTCCTGTACAGACACTGAAAGCCACTCAGTAACACTGTGATTTCAAATGATAAAAGCTGCAAAGAAGCAAGGAAGGCCTACTAGAAGCAGTGATAAACGGCTCACATTTTAAAACAAATTTGCCAATATTATATACAGAATAAAGAACCACTGCTATTATTGCATTCCTTAAATGTAGAGCTGTAGCAAGACAGGAATACATTACCCTAACCAAGAGGTTCAACATGCCAACTAGTAAGTATTTAAGTAAGTTTACAAGGCCTACAAAGGCCATTGTTCTAATACAAAAGTAGAAAGACGCTATAAATCTTACTTACGTCCTTCCACAGATGGGCAGAGCCTACACACTTCTCAATTCCCCCCTCCCAAACCCTAAACCCATCTAGCCTAATTATCACGAGTTAGTGAAAGACACCAGTGGGGCAAGCTAGCTCTGAACAGAGCGATGTTCTCCATGAAACTACATCCAAAGCACAGCATACTTGACAGATCATGCGAGTTTTAGCGAAGAGGATGGAACTAACAGATCAGCCATGGCACTCAAGCTGTTCTTCAGCGTATAAAGGATTTTAACTTTCACTCAAAGTTGCTTATGATGGCCTGGATTATCAGTATTTTCTCACTCTCTCTATTTCACTCCATGCTACCAAACTGTGAGTAGGGTGGTGGTGCGGGGTTCTGCATTAACTGAAATAAAACATAAAGTTAAGCTTAAGAGAACACTAACAGCACACTAATAAATAAAAGCTTAATAAATAAATCCAGAAGGAAAACTGAAAGGTTTTGATAAATATGCCACAACATAATGTCCAGTGGCTCAAAGAAAATCTAACATCTGGCAACTGCAACAGCTCACAAGGACATTCAGGAATGTTTCCAAGCTCCAGGAGGTGGCTGGGTGGAGAGAGTGAGAAAAAAAGGAAGAGACACAGCATTTTAGGCTGCATGAAAGTCTGAAGGTTAAAATCTTTACGTGTTTCCCCAAAATCTGGTGAGTTGGCATAAATTTCTATACATGCTTCTCAACCCAAAAATTTATGTTCTGTATCCTGGCTCTCTTTTGGTTCAGAAATATAACAGAACGTGTAGCAACTCAGAGTATATTTACATTGCTTCCCTAGACAAATTTTTACCTACAACAGGGAAAATTTCCCATCTCCCAGGTTGTACATTAATTATCAGATCTGTAGACTGTGCTGCATTTGCCAGTTCTGTACTAAAGACACCTATAGTTGCCTTTTGTGCCATGTACAATTAAATGAAGTATTTGAGAGTGAAGAGGAGATGCTCTGACTCAGCACTGAAACTGTTTTTTCCCCAAGTACTTAAAATGTTATATAAACAGGAAGTCAATTAGGTATCAGGAAATTCCAGAGCCTTTAGCTCAAAGAAAGCCTAGATTAAAGGATACAATTTACATATCATCCCAAGGCAAAGGTCTGCCACTGAGAATACCTTAGTCTCAATTTCCTCAAATGTAACTTGGGGGATAACTATTTGATGTGTAGAGATAGAGCACTCAGTCTCCTTTTGAAGGGGGATGGGGGGAATAAATCAAAAAGGGCACGTGCAAGTACTTGATCATATCAGGAGCTGAGTCAACCTTAGGGAAACTCACTGCTTTATTACAAATCATACTCCATCAATCACTGCTTTACACAAGACCTCCCTAATGAATTGTATTGTATGTTCCTGCTTCACAAACTAAAAACCAAAGTAATCTGCTTAAGGTCAAGATACTACACTAAAACCCTATGTGTGATCATCATCATCATCTCAGTCAGTGTGATTTTAAAGTGACTATCAATGTTTCCGCTGATTGCTTTTAAAAACTGCTGATTAAAAAAACCCCCAAAACTAAAACCAAACAGTCCGGCACACCTTTTAAAGACTGGTGTGAGGCAAGCAACAATGAACACAGGTTCAGACACACAACTTATGAACTGCTCCCTCTACCCCCCCCTTAAATTAAAGACTTCAGAAGTGAAAACATGGATGGGGAAACACTTATGTTAGTGATGTCTGACAAAAGACATGATATTGGTTCAGTAACCTAAACATGCTATAATAATCAAACTCTAGTCTACAAGTGACTCTAGTCACTTATTCATTAAAAAAGCCTTTATCCATAATTTATTAATCATGATGTAAAACCCAAATTACAATGCTTTTCCCTTTTATATTCCTACAAAACTATAATGTGATTGAAAGGGAAATCCCTTGAACAGATCTCTTCTTTCTAAGTTTTGCCCATTATGTACCTCCAAAGCCAAGGCTGTCTTGTCGTAGGCATTAGGGACTCGCTTCTGGGTAACCCGGGCATAAATAGGGCCATTCTGAAGGTTAGGGAGCGGAGTGTTGATGCTGGGCTGGGCATAGGGCCCTGGCTCCGGCCCACCCAGTGGTTGTGGGTGGGAACTATCCTGGTTACCTCCAATCAGAGTAGATACTGAAGCAGAGGAAGGTCTACACTTCTCCACGTAAGGAACAGGTATCATTCCCCTCTTTCCTTCGCTGTCTTCTGCATTCCACCATTGCTCTTCAGGTTTATCCCAGATTCTCAGTATGTCTCCTTTCTTAAATGGAAGATCTTCTTCATCATTTCCATTAAAGTCAAAGAGAGCTCGCACATATTCAGCTTCCTCCTGCCTGAGGATAACGCCACTATTCTGCCTGGATCGGGAAACTGGTTCTATCAAGGTTGTAGTGTCCAAATAGTGTATTTTGTAGAATTCCAGTAAAGATGGCAAAGAATCAAACTCTTGGTCACCTATTCGAAATCTGGTGGGATTCACCCCTGAAAGAAGAAGGCAATATGTCAAAGAGAGCATACAACAGTTACAACTGAAAATTAAGCATTTAAGTCAATGAATATATTTACAGATAAGTAATTTGATATTGAATTTGGTCATCTTTAGATCAACATTCATCACATTCAGTTTTTCTGTGAATTTCTGATCAAAGGCAGCACTGTCGTGATCATGTGGATAGTTTTATTTTTAAAGATTTTGCCAAAGAAGGAAAAAAGAAAATGTTTGGCACTGCCAAACTTCATGAATTAGGATAAAAATATCTTGTTTCTTCAAATGTTATATGGACCCAACAATTTTCAGTAACAGACAATTCCCTTTTTCCTGTTTTCTACTCTAATCTAGAAAGCAAATGAAATTTTGATACAATTTCAAGACAGTGATTTTTTTAAAACTCTCTTTTGCATTTCAAAGTTATTTCAGAAGGACAACACTGCAATAATGGGTATTTAGCTGTTGCAATGTATTTTGGGTTAAAGGCATGGACACTACAAAAAAACTGCTTAGCACAGCAGCAAACAATTCATGTGAATGAGCAAATTAAGTTATTTTTCATTTTGATAAAAGGTACCATTAGAGAAAATTATGTATATTTTATGCAATGCAAAGCAACAACATATGTTTTAATAATGGGTATAATTCAGTCTTAATCTCAAGTCTTGCAGTTTGCCATAGTTGTCAGATGGAGCCTAAGCTATAAATCTGAACCTCACATACATTAAAATACAGATGATGTTCATATTCAAGTCATTAGAAGCATCAAAGTGCAGATATCCATTTTAGTTTTCAATCTGCGTGCTGCGCTTTTTTTCCATTTTATGTTCTTCAGGCTCAGCTGGGGAAAAACATACACATGATGTTCTATTTCCACCATGCACCATACACTGTGTAATCAGTTATGGGAAGAATTGTGGAAGGCTGGGGGAGGGCAGTGGAGTGGAAAAGATTTATGCTTTAATGAGTAACTCTCTTAGCAAGAAAGAGATGCTTACTTTGCAAGTCTGTGTCTCTGCAGGGAATATCTAACAGTTCCGAGACTTAGCTCGCAAGTACAAAGCTAGCGGAATTCTTGAAGCTGTCACTGATCCAAAACCCCCTTCAAAGTAGCACTGTCAGCATGGAAAGCTAACATTACAAGAAGTTCTTTCAAGAGAGCAAGAAGGGGTTCTAATAGAGAAAAGGGCAGATTCACCAAGATCAACATAGACAAACACCCGATAAATAAGTTTTGAAGTATCCTGAAGGAACATAAACATCAGTGAAGCTGGTTACAGGAAATTCAAAGTAGTAGAACTAAGTCATCGGAAAACGCACATTTGCATGCATTAACAGCCCTGAAAGACTTTCAAAAGAAATCAGCACAAATGCCACGAGCCAAAAGCAGTATCCTCAAAAAATTACAAAAAACGCAAACACAAACTGGCATCATGAAGAGATAAGGAAGCTAATGTAAATATCAGTAAGAAATATGAACCCAGCATGGAAAGAGGGTTGTTCCACCTTGTTCTCCCAAAGCATAATGCTAAAAAGATGCAAAACCCTCTCAACTTACAGCTCTAGACTTAGCAAGAACTCTGGAATTTCACCTCAGTGGCAGTTCTTAGCTCTGTGGTCTCACAGGAGATGACCTCTGGCTGGACAGGCAGCACCCCTACAGCACTTCAAAACAGCTTAAGTCCACAACATAAGCATATAATATGATCTGGGAATGCTGCACTTCCGTTAGCGTTGGAAGTAGGAAACTATGCTTTGTAACAAGTGGTACAGAAATGAAGTTCAGGACAAACCTGGTGACAGAAACATGAGTGCCTATCTGCTACTATTTTGGATGTGAACCTTTAAGGATCAAGGCAGTAGACACTTCCATCAAAACAGAAAGTCATAGAAATTTTAAGAGGACCAGGACAGCAAAGATCTTTGAAGTCATACGGAGAAGACTGAATCTCAGGTAAGTTCACTGACATGGAACTTATTTCACAAGACAGAAATCTAGAGCATGAAACACTAATTTGCCTTCGTAAAACTTGCTACAAACCAAGCCCATCAGGAGGCTGAGATCTCTGTCTCCAGCGAAGCGTACAGAGAAAAGTCGTAAACTCATAGGAATGAGCAGTTCAACAGTAACACTCATCAGCCTTGTCAGCACCAAAATAATCACTAGGATGAACAAATTTGGTGGGTTTTTTTTTTTCTTTTCTTTTGAACAGGTTCACACTCTTGAATTAATGCATAACAGCCTCAAACAGCTGCCAAATGTATCTGAATAAAACCAAAGAGGAAAGTCCACTGGAACCTTATGTATGGGGAAGGAGTGACTGAAATCAGCATACTGTATCCTGGAAATTAATATTCTAAGACATTTTTCACAACAGAATAAGAGTGAGAGAACACAGACCCTCCAAATACATTCTAGGATCTGAAAGATCAATGCAATCCTTGAAGGGACAGATAAGCAGCAGAAAGGAGAGACATCCTAACAAAGAGAACGCTCCCAGAATACCACATGCACTTCTGATGCTTTTATTTAAAACAAAACCAAAACCAAAACACAACCAAAACAGAAGACAGCTGCAAAAATCAAAGGCCTGGAAAACCTCTTCGCAACAAGAAGTCTACAAGCTTAATCCAAATTAATTACCAAAGAATATAAAGGCAGCAACCTGGTCACTGTCCGGAGAATGTACATAGAAGACTTCCAAATTCAGCTAAAATAGGCATAAAAAGGACAAAATAGTTGAAATTCACAAGTTGGAAATAAAATACAACTACACCTTACCAAGCACGTAGTAAACTCTCCATCAGCTTAAGTCTTTTGTGTATACTCTTGTTCAGCTACAAGGTAATGAGCTGAATGATGCTCACTTATGTAGCAGGGAAATAATTCTATCCACTACGGGCTTCGAAGTTTTGTCATTCCCTGGTATAATGAAATTCAAGTATTAACAGTTTTCAGGCTCAGAGAAATTCTTCAGCTTCTTGTTTGAGCTGCAACACTTCTCATACCTGTAGGCCAATGAAAAAATTAAGGCACGATCTACCACAAGAAAAAGTTACAGCTACAAGGCAAGTGGTTTTTGGAGAAGTAGAGCTGTTTTCCTTCATGATTCTGGGACAGTTTTCTTGAAGGCACAAGTTTGAACAGCACGTTGTCTGCAACTTCTGAGGGCTCTCAGGAAGAGAAGGCAGCGTGTAAAGTCTAGCTACTGGAGGAACTTTAGTCACTTCCTATTAAAGCTGGACAACCAGAGTACTAGAAATTCTCTTCCCTTCTCCCCACCACTGCACAGTCAAAGGAAGAACAGCGGCTCAGCGCACACCTCTACCAGCAGCACTACTCAGCTCTGTAAGATGACTCCTTTGACTGAGAAGCACAAAGGGCTGAGGATCATCTTTCTTTCTGATTCCATTCTAGCTCCATTTGTGCTAGGACTTAACCTGATTCCATCCATTTCAGCACATCAGAACAGCTAGCGAGACCTCTGTTCTCAGGAAGGCAAGGAAAGAGTTAAAATCCAAAGCGTGCCAGAATTAAGTAAGTTTCAAATCTGGACCCTGTCAGTTCTCTGTTTATAACACAGGTTCCCTCCTGACAAAACACTTTTACACTGTGTTGGCTTCAAGTCAATCTGGAAAAGATTGCTTATATATGTTTTAAATATTGCACAGATACTGGGGAAGTAGAGATCACCTAATATCCTACTTCTTGAGAGTGTGGGCAGGTGGTGTAACTACAAAGCAACTTCTCGCTTTCTCAGACATCTCATGGGTTTTACGTTTCTCTCTTCACTCCAGTTGTGCTAGCGCCACTAGGCAGTTTTCTCTTTATTCCTAAGCTTTGGTAAGCTTTCCTTTTCAGTGCAGGGAAGGCCTCACAGAAATACAGGTTTTCATTTTTGTTTCTAGACCTAAGGGTGCCTCCCCTCCAACTTATAAAGCATGTTTGGGGCAAGAAAAGCTGTTCTTAGCATGCAGGGTACTGAGACACAAGGCTCTCATTTCAAAGTAAAACATCACCATGATGTAAGCCAGCTTCCTCCTGGAGCATATGGGAACTGTACTATGAAAGCATCGCATTCCAGCCTGTGTGTTTCCCCTACCCCCATAGGAACACCTTTTTTCCTTGTTCTTAAGTACCTCCCATCTTATGGCTGAGCAAAACCCGTCAACGCCCTATAAAAACAGTAAAACCCCATTCACTGATTCCTGAGAAGAGTTCTAAGCATACCAGAATATTCTTACAGAAGTTACATATTGTCATCTCTGCAGATAATCAGAGGATGAGAGAAAAGTAGATGTCTAACGCATACACTTTCCAAGCTTCTAAGAGTTTGCATTTCAAGACCTTAATATAAAAAAAACCCAAACCACGCAAGTGTCGGAGTTAAATCATACTGTGCACACATATCAAAAGCCATTTCATATAGAGTTGACTATGGATATCATTATGTAAATATTATACGATTCCAGGAAGTACAGTCTGAATTTTTTAAAATCACAACGGAAGTGATTTAGAAGAATAAGGTAAGCAGCATGTTCTTAAAATGCATACTTAGTGAAAACCCCACCTTCTACACTGTATCTGTCACACTCTTCTACCTCAGAGAGACAAATTTTACAACTCTAAGGTTTCTGGCTTTATTAAATTATATTGTACTTTCAATAGAAAGAATATCTTTCTTTAGATATTTTAGGCATTTTCTTTTAGTGGATATCATACATTTCTACCCCAGACTCCTATGTCAAATTGCAAACATATGAGGTATTTAAATATTTCCTTTCTTGTCCATTACCATGCTAATGCCTGCATGGAGTACTTTGTCTTGTTCAGGATTTCTTTAGGCTGTGACTGTGCTATTTGATCTCAAAATATACCCTAATTCCGATTTTGTTGTTAATCTCCATCTCCACTGGAAACAGAGTGGTTTTCTTTCCCATAATTCAGTGACTTACCCTATTTCCTTTTAACAGTTATAAAATATTTCAGGAAGACCTATCTATTTTGAGAAGTTCTGTTAAATTCTTTTTTCTTTATGCTGAAAAATCACCTGCAAGAAGTTAGAAACTGCGGCATATCAGGCAAAAGGTGAATGCAACAAAAAGTTAGCAAGTTTTATACTTTAGAAATGCAAGAAAGCATCAAGTTTTGTGACACTATGGCTTTTTATATTAGGGAAGCCAAAGCTCCTTATTTCATTCATTCTATATTGAAGCTAGGTTCTTAGTATCATCTGCACAGAGCAGCGTTAATGGCACACAGACTTACAAACAAAAATCAGCCTAAGAACCCAATATTGCATATTTAGATTTCCCAGCGAGAAGTGTGCATTTGCCAATCAATTGCTGAAAAACTTATACCATACAATGAACATAGTAAAGTTGTTCTTACTAATGTTTTAGCTTGACCGCAATAAATAAGCATGACAATTTGCAAACATTTACCTCATTTTGCTGCATTAGCCTCCCTATCGAAACATGAAATTATCTTCTACCAATGTTTCCACCTCCCTCCTATTGCAGAACACACCCCACTTACTTTTTTCTGAAAGAAAAACTTAATTACACTGTAAGTGTAACTTAATACACACACACCCACACCTTCTTTCTTTTGTTTGACTGAGAAAAGACAGCATTATCAGCATGGAAGCATGACTTATTTAAAACTACTAAAATCTCAGCGTAGAAATATCTGTGGTGCAGGAGTGATGTATCACTTATTCACTTATCCTCATAACATCGGGGGGGGGGGCGGAGGAGAAAAAAAAGAGACCAACCAAAACATAATTATACTTTTTAGCATATATTAAGCCAACAGTCTACACAGCTACAATCGCAGCTACTCTTCTAAAACAGATAAACATTTAAAACAGAAGAGAATTAACTAAGAGGCATTGAATGATTTTTAAAAAAAGAACACCAACACTCCAGAATGTTTTAACACCCATAACATGAGCCAGCCCACAGAATGCCACAAAGCATTACTGAGCTTAAGAACATAACACAATTAAAAAAGTCAGGGTAGCTATGTACTAAAGTGATACCATAATAACATAAAAAATACTGTTTTTCCAGAGATGAGCTGCTCTCCAGAAACCAACTGCCCAGAAGCGAGAGGCACGCATACTCTAATGTTTTTCATCATTACTGTCTTTAAAATCCAGATAGGCTGGATTCCACAACAAACCATCCTGGTAACTTATTCTGCTCTACATAACACCAGTCATGCATTTCAACAACCCCTGCATCAAGCCTCCGCAAACCTACGGCAATAAACCTCTGTTTTCACAGCCATGAAACAATGGGAAACCCACCACATCTTGTGGCAAACCATTTTACTACCCACGGCAGTAATGACTTCCACTACTTCCAGCTGAATTCAGCCCCCTTTAACTTTCACCTCATGGAGCTTTTTGTGACTTGAGTGCGCTCTGCAGCTGTAGGTTCCTGGGATAAACACAATGACTTCAGGCTTTCCCAAATTTGCCAACTTGAAGTGATACCCTGAGCAGAGGAAATCACTGTATAATGGTCCAAAGCTACTGGCAACAGTTTTGTTTTTTCTCAGATTACCTCCTTCTTAGTCAACTACAGTCTGTGCAGAGACTGAAAAATCCTTTCTGTAACAAGTATTGTTGCATCTTCCCAATACAGGTCTCTTATGCCAACCATAGATCTACATCAGAAAGTGACTGTCTCTGTCATACATCGTTTACTTTCTGCCAAGTAAGTTCACCAAATCTCTTATTACATAGGTTTACTACGCTTCAGAATTATGTAGTGGTTCCTTTCTGAGATGCTAGCAATACACCCACATCATTTTGCAAGCATTAATATCCGAGCTTGAGCAGTTCCACTACCAACTTCAGGCATGCCCCCAGCAGGGACACTGCTGCCTTTGAATTACACATTCTTACATCTAAGGATGCTGCGTTGCTGGGGGCTCTTGTTCATTTAGTTACACTTGTACTTGCAGAAATGCTGCTTCTCACGGTACAGTTTTCCCTCTGACACAATCAGTATCTTCTGCTCTAAAAGCGTTACGCTTAAATACACTGTTTTCATATCAGATGTTAGATCGATGAGCAATATAATCAAACCTTCCCTTTTCAACACACACGGGGGAAAAAAATTAACTTCACATCCTATTTAAAGGAACAATTGCATTTATATTCCTGAAAACTTCCCACTACTTAAACTACCCACATAATACTTTGATTCGTGATTTGAAATTTAGCCTCCCAGTCTGCCTTCTAACGCAAAACTATCTTGTCATAATTCAGACTTTTAGATGACACTTCCACAGAACCGTCCCCCCAGGTGAAATGACATGCAAAAATCTATTCACTAGAGTTAACTGGTTTATGAAAACAAAAGAACGTGCGAGCGCTACAGCCGCAGGATCTTTCGGGAGGGCTGCAACAAGCGCTCAACTCCAGTCCGCGTTTAACTACGCTACGAGGCGGCTGGGAGGCAGGTGCGGACAGACGGCTCAGCTCGGTCCGCAGCCCCAGCTGCAAAACGCGACTTAATTCCACTACAAAGAGCTTCACGACTCGGAACACCGCCCGGGAACAGAGCGCAGCC